TAAAAGATTACAGGAAGGAAGATGTAATAGATTTCTGTGCCTTCCTTCTAGAAATACCATCAAAAAAATAAAAGGTCTGTGGAGAGGAATGTGAGAAGAATAACGGATTTATGGAAAGGTCAGTGGAACACCCAGAAAACCGTGCATACTATCAGAAAATGAACCCCAATACACATTCCATCCACCTTCATAGGAATCCAGCGTACACACATGGACCCCTGTTCCTGACCTATGCCATCATAGCTTCACCTCTGACCTATGCCATCATAGCTTCACCTCTGACCTATGAGCGTATGCATTTTCTTCTTGGTTTTCTTTTTTTTTTTTTTTTGTAACGCTTTATTGAGTTGTCATTGATATACCCAAAACTGCACATATATAATACGTATATACAATTTGATAGGTTTGAACATATGTAGGGACCCATGAAGTCATTAGCACAACCAAGGCAATAAACATCCATCACCTCCAAAAGTTTCCTCCTGCCCGTTTTTATGATAAGATCATTTAACTCGATTTCGACTCTGAACAAATTTTTCAGCATGTAATAAAACATTGTTCACTGCAGGGACTGCTCTACTGCATACCTCTAGGACTGGGGAGCTCTGTTTTCTAAAACAGTCACCTCTACAAAATAAGTACCACCATCCATTTTCCCAGACTTTTCTACAATGATGCAAAAGTTCCGTAATTATTTTTCACCTTGAAGATCAACCTGTTGGGTTGATCAATGTCTCCCCAAGTTCATGGTCATCCACAACCTTATTTGGAAAGAGGGTCTTTGCACATGGCATCAAGTTAAGATGAGGTTATATCGCCTCAGGGTGGACCCTACTCCAATGGCTGATGTCCTTAGGAGGAGTGGGAATTTGGATGGGGACCTGCAGAGGGAAGACAGCCATGTAATGTGAAGGCAGAGATTGGGGTGGTGCAGCTACAATGCCAAGGATTACCAGGGACGCTCCGAAGCTGGAGGAGCAAGGAAAGGTCTCCCCATACAGCTTTTGGAGGGGGTGCTTTCCTGTCCGCACCTTGATTGCAGACTTTGGGTCTTCAGGACTGTGAGGGAATATGTCGTATTTTCTCTCTCTCTCTCTCTCTCTCTTTTTTTTTTTTTTTTTTTTGGCCACCCAGTGTGTGGCACGTTGCTAAAGCAGCCCTAGGAAACTAACACAGTTACTTTTTTTTCCAAACAAACAACTTTTTTAAAATTTATTTTTTATTGAAGTATAGTTGAATTACAATGTGTTAATTACTGCTGTACAGCAAAGTGATTCAGTTATATATACATAGATCCTTTTTCATAGTCTTTTCCATTATGGTTTATTACAGGATATTGAATATAGGTCCCCCAAACAACTTTTTATTGAAGTATAATTAATTTATATTGTTGTGTTAGTTTCAGGTATACAGCAGTGATTCAGTTATATATTTTTTTTCAGATTCTTTTCCATTATGGGTTATTACCAGATATTGAATATAGTTCCCTGTGCTATACAGTAGGACCTCGTTGTTTATCTATTTTATATGTAGTGGTGTGCATATGTTAATCCCAAACCCCTAATTTATCCCCCCTCACTTTCCTCTTTCGTAACCACAAGTCACTTTCCCCTTTGGTAACCATAAATTCATTTGTATCATATTTTAGATTCCACATAGAAGTGATATCATAGGGTATTTGTCTTTCTCTGTCTGGCTTACTTCACTTAGTATTGATCATCTCCAGGTCCATCCATGTTGCTGCAAATGTTGGATCTATATAATAACAAGTAATTTTGCATCAGATGAATAAGTTCTTGCCTGTATACAAATTGATATCGAATTTCAATGTCTTTTCCTGTTTTTATCTTTCCTTAAAAATATATTAAGGCAAATCTGTGATACAGTTCTCATCATTTATCTTCCCCGTGGAGATTTTAAGAGGATTAACAGTCACATTTTGTAAATCTCTCTATGAAAAATATAGTGTATAATTAGCCAAAAGATCTGCAAATATCATTGCAAAATTGTCACTGAACCTCTGAAGTCCTTAGAACGTAAAACGGCTTTGAAACCAATTTAACTGGGAAAGCAGCGATTCTCAGATTTGTGGGATACTTAGGAATTACTTGTAAAATGCATTAAAATTATAGATCCCAGCCCTGCCCAGGAGTCTGATTCTGTAGGTCTGGAGTGAGATTAAGACACCTGTACATGAATGAGACAGGTTGATCAAAGAGGATGCTGCTCTGGTACCATCTCATATATATATATATTTTTTTGCGGTACGCGGGCCTCTCACTGTTGTGGCCTCTCCCGTTGCGGAGCACAGGCTCCGGACGCGCAGGCTCAGCGTCCATGGCTCACGGGCCCAGCCGCTCCGCGGCATGTGGGATCTTCCCGGACCGGGGCACGAACCCGTGTCCCCTGCATCGGCAGGCGAACTCTCAACCACTGCGCCACCAGGGAAGCCCAGCTATCTCGTATTTATATTCCAGTTCTGGCCTTTTCAGTTCCATCTCAATGGAAAGTTCACCCAACTCTCTGGGCCTCAGGTTCCTTATCTGCAAAATGGGAAGACACTATGACAACGCCTTGTATGAATATTAGGATCAAATGAAATTAAAGAATATATATGTATATATCTATATGCAATATAAAGTTACACTGTATATGGCTCTATATAATATGAATGTAATTTTAACATAATATATTAATAAGCTAATATTTGATATAAATATGCATGCATAGATTGAATATTTTACGTATGTAAATATGTAAAATCCCTCCCCCTGCTGTGTTATTTTGGAGTGCAGAAAATACGTAAATAAATACATGTGTATTATATATAAAATGGCATTATAAATATGTATATGTATGCAGAATGTATTCACACAATATATATATTTTTCAGTCCAGTGTGTGGGTCCACTGAGTTCTGCATGAACAGCAGAACTTTGCAATTTTAATTTCAAAGCCATTGTTTTGCAAATGAGGATATTAGAATTTTAGAGCTGAGAATCTTTTCTCTAGTTGTTGATGTGGCCAGGGTCATGCAGTGACCTCACACCAATTCCGTAACAAAAATCCGATTTCCTCTTCCCAATCCCCTCCTTTAAAAAAAGAAAAATCATGGGCTTCCCTGGTGGCGCAGTGGTTGAGAGTCCGCCTGCCGATGCAGGGCACACGGGTTCATGCCCTGGTCTGGGAGGATCCCACATGCCGCGGAGTGGCTGGGCCCGTGAGCCATGGCCGCTGGGCCTGCACGTCCGGAGCCTGTGCTCTGCAACGGGAGAGGCCACAGCAGTGAGAGGCCCGCGTACCGCAAAAAAAAAAAAACAAAAAAGAAAGAAACATCACCAAAAAGATACATTATTTTTTAAGTGTGCTTTATTGTACAGTCTTCATATTTTTAGAATCGCATTATTTTTATACAGTTTACCCTTTTAAGGAAAAGAAAAAGATGTTGCTTACTGAACATAATGGTCATATTTGGTCATATCATTTAAAACCATGATTTATTGTTAGGCTATTTAACTTGAGTGCAATGCTTCCTTCCCACAGACAGTTGTGAAAGGAGCTATGAGATGACATTGTAACTATAAGGATTTATCATCGGTAATTGAAAAAGTACATATTTTGTGGAGCTAGATAATTTCTGAATAATCCCTTCCCCTGCTGTATATTACTTTGGAGTGCAGAAAACCAACCTCTGTGCTTTTTCTCCCTTGCACATTATTCTCAAGAGACAATCCGCCTGCCATTAGAAACCATCCATTGTCAGCGAGAAGGTTCCTAGATATTTAATATTGGCCGAGTGAGCATCTACAGTGAGCGGAGTAGAGATCCGTCACTCCCAAGGTACACTGACCTTTGGCTCTGGGGAGAGTGATACTTTCATGGCTGGATAATGATATCTTGTTCAATAGAAAGACCCAAACATGCTTTATCTTCATCAAAGCTATAATTACAACCAAGCAGGTGGCCAAGGGGCTGAATTGCCTTGGGGTGCACAGAAGCATTAGGAAAAGGATTTAGGTGGGGCTACGGTCGTCAACCTGTGATTATGCTGCTTGGGTTAAAATAAAGGGATATCAATCTTCATGCTGCCTTCTGCAAACACCTGACTGAGGAGAAAGACACAAATCAACCTCAGTCTCTGCAGCATGAGAGGATGCTTGTCAGTGGATGATGGGCAACAGGGTAAAGGGGAATCTCTCCTTGCATGAGACTTCAGATCTGGACAGAACCGTGCAATGGTCTTTCCTTTCTCTCATGCTCTGTGTTTCTTTTTCCTTACACAGTAATTGGGTTCCACATCGTCCTACCCACCGATGATGGGGTTTTCAGTCCATGTAGAGAGACATACTGCAAGACTAAAGGGACAGTTAGATTTCACTGTTTTCTTGCTTGTTCTCGTATCATCTGAGGAGTGATGCATGCCATCCGAGTCATCCTTGACATCTGCACTGGAGATTAAAACCACCAAAATGAAGGCAATCTGGGGTTTGGTCTGCCTGAGTTGCCTAGGGCTGCTGTAAGAAATCACTACAAATGTAGCACCTTGAAACAACACTAATTTATCATGTTGTCGTGGAGGTCAGAAGTCCAAACTGGGATCTCCCTGGGGACTTCCCTGGTGGTCCAGTGGTTAAGATTTTGCCTCCCAATGCAGGGGTGTGGGTTCAATCCCTGGCCAGGGAGCTAGGATCCCATACGCCTCGCAGCCAAAAAAACCAAAACATAAAACAAAAGCAATAGTGTAACAAGTCCAATAAAGACTTTAAAAATAGTCCACATCCAAAAAACTAAAAACCTTTCAAAAATACAAAGCAAAGCAAAATGGGGTCTCCCTAAGCTAAAATATAGGTGTCCACAGAACTGCATTCATCCTGGAGGCTTTAGGGGACAATCCATATTCTTACCTTGTGCGGCTTCTAGAGGTGCCTGTAATCCGTGGCTCCCGACCCTGCTTTCAATTTCAGAGCACATCACTCTGCCCTCCGCTTCTGTCTTTGCAGGTCCTTCTGTGACTCTGACCCTTCTACTTCCCTCTTAGAAAGACCCTTGTGATGACATTGGACCCACCTGGATAATCCAGCGTCATCTCAGCATCTCAAGGTCCTTAATCACATCTGTAGAATCCCTTCTGCCCAGTAAGGTAAGCCATTCACATGTTCCACGGATTAGGATGTGCACATTTTTGAGGGTTGTTATTTTCCCCCCACAGATCCATTCTCAGTTCTTTTTTTGTTTAATTTATTTTATTGAAGTATAATTGATTTACAATGTTGTGTTAATTTCTGCTGTATAGCAAAGTGGTTCAGTTATACATACATATATCTATTCTTTTTCAGATTCTTTTCCATTATGTTTCATCACAGGATATCGAGTATAGTTCCCTGTGCTCTACAATAGGACCTTGTTGTTTATCCATTCTATATATAATAGCTTGCATCTGCTAACCCCAAACTCCCAATCCATCCCTCCTCCACTCCCCTCCCCTCCCCCTTGGCAACCACAAGCCTGTTCTCTGTGTCTGTGAGCTTGTTTCTGTTTTGTAGATAAGTTCATTTGTGTCATATTTTAGATTCCACATGTAAGAGGTATCATGATATTTGTCTTTCTCTGTGTGGCCTACTTCACTTAGTATGATCATCTCTAGGTCCTTCCCTGCTGCTACAAATGGCAATATTACATTCTTTTTTATGGCTGAGTAATATTCCATTGTACATAGTTACCACATTTTCTTTATCCATTCATCTGTCAATGGACACTTACGTTGTTTCCATGCGCTGGCTATTGTAAATACTGCTGCTATGAACATAGGGGTGCATGTGTCTTTCTGAATTAGGGTTTTGTCTGCCATTCCCAGTTCTGAGCTCAAAATACATAAACAGCCAAGGCAGGCACCGGGTGACTGTCACTTCACACAGTGAATAAGAGCCATAAAGACTGCAAGGCTGAACTAAAACAGCCAGTTAGACTTCTCACTTAACTTTATTTAACTGTGTTGGAATGCTTTAACTATCAGGAATATTGCTCTATATAAGCTGGGGCTGTAAATTTTCATTCGTGTTGGGATTTAATTTTCATAGATATTGGGAAGGTGATCTGTATTTGCATTTAACATGGTGTACGGATGAAGTAAGAAAAAAAATATATGATTGATGGGTGGGATCATTAGAAGCAATATTCAAAGGGCGATTGCTTTCACAAATGATCGTTCAGCTCTCCGGGCATGGAAAGCCATATCGCTGAACCTCAAAGGACGATTTTAACACTATTGCAGGAAGAAGAGGGTTAGAATGAGATTTAAAATCCCATAATTGGAGCGCTATTCAAAATACTCTGACATCTAATGATTTCATAAATTTAGTAGTACTTTTTTCCCCCTGATTCTTTAACCATTTCAGTGCATAAGAGAGAAAAGGGTTTACTGTTCCTTAGTTGTAGAAATCAACTGTGCTTCTTATTGAGCTTCCATACACATAAATTTATTCAGAAAGGCTTGGGGAGCCTATGGTGTGTCAAGCCCTGTGCTAAGGACAGTGCACGAAAAGATGGGAATGTCTAGGACATTGACTTCAAGAGTCTTGCATATAGGAAATACTCAGAAGTAATTGGACAGTTGCTAAGCTTTCCTGAAAGCCATCAGGGGCGTGTCTGGAAACATTTCCTAGAGTGTGTGTCTTTCCTGGAACCAACACTCAGGTGTGTCCTGGGAACCAGGAAAACCTTAGTCCAGCTTCTTCGTAGCAAGGTATAGATTCTTGATACTCACAGTATGGCCAGAGGACCAGCAGTGTATAAGTCCCCTAGGCTGCTGTAACAAATTACCACAAACTGGAGATCTTAAAATAACAGAAATGTATTCTCTTGCCATTCTGGAGTCCAGAAGTCTGAGATCCAAATGTTGGCAGTGCGTAGCTCCTCCAAAGCCTCTAAGGAGGACTCCTTACTTGCCTCTTCCATTGTCTAGTGATTTCCAGCATCTTTGGCATTCCTTGGCTTATAGACACATCACCCTGATCTCCACCTCCATCTTCACCTGGCCTTCTTCCCTCTGTGTTTCTGTGTCCAAATCTCCCCTCCTTAGAAGGACACTAGTCACTGGATATAGGGCCCATTGTGATCCAGTATAACCTCTTCTTAACTTGATTACATGTGCAAAGACCCTATTTCCAAATAAGGTCATATTCACTAAGGTTAGGACTTCAACACATCTTTGGGGGGACACCGTTCAGCTCCCTACACCAAGCATCAGCATCTCTCAGGAGATCATTAGAAATCAGATGCCCCAACTCTATGCCAGACCTCTTGAGTCAGAATCCGCATTTTTTTCAAGACCCCCATGTGTTTTGTATGTACAATAATAGCATGGGTATAAGGCAAGATACAACATGTCCCACTCTAAGATATGCAAATAATTTAGTACAGTCGCAGTTTGAGAGGTGGTACAACAGAGACTTGGCAGAATTGGCAGGAAAACGAGATTAAGAGGAAGGGAAGGGACAAATCCTGAAAGAGCATCTTGCTGAAGATTTTCGGGGGCTGGGACCCTGAGATACTTACCGTCATGTGTGTACCATGATCAGAGTTGCCTTTTGAGTTTGTGTGGCTGCTGTGGAGAAGAACTGATGGGATAAAAACTGGACAGAGGGATACATTTAAGAAGACCATCCAGGGATGCAGGGTGGAGTAATGAGAACCTGCATCAAAGCAGCAGGGATGGAAACGAGCCATGAGATTCAAAATATAGGGGAACAAAAGGTTGGTTCCATGAGAAACGATGGTCATCTGAATGTAGGAAGATGGAGAAGGAAGAATCAATGATGACCCATAGTGATACTGAGCAGCTTTGTGGACAGCGGGGCCGTTCACCAAGGATAAGGCAGTTCACGAGGACCAACTTCGAGGAGGTTGTAGAAATTTCATTTTCAGACATCGACATTTCTAGGTGTCAGCAGCCCCTGAAGGAACAGGAGCTGTATATGTTTGGTACCCTGGAGAGTTGATGTGCTTAGAGACACATTTTGGGGGCCTCATCAGGATATTGGTCCCTTTCAAGTCGTAAGAATGAGTGTCGTGATCCCAGGAGAGAATTTAGAGGGAAGGAAAGAGAAAAGAGGGACAAGGACAGACTCCAGAGATAATGATCTTGACTACTCTTGTTTGGAACCATATTTGGAAGAGGTAAAACCAGTGGGATGAAATGAAGACACCTCCCCTTGTGTGTGTCAACAGAGCAAAGGGAACTCCATCTTGGAGACAGGATGGCGTAGTGGTCAAGCCCATTGAGTCTAGAGTCAGCCTTCCTGAGTTTGTCACTCGCTCTGTGATCTTGGACACATGATTCAATGTCTATGGGCCTCAGTTTCCTCATCTGTAAAAATTAAGGATAATGATCCTACGCACCTCTTCTTTAACACATAGTAAGAGCTATATATGAGCATCAGTCATTTTGATTATCACCATTATTATGCTAGGATTTCAGTTTTAGTATGGGGGAGTCCTTTCTTTTTTAAGCAGGTATGGGTAACGTTTAGATGCCCTTTTTAGGGAAGTACTATTGTTTCTGAGCTATCAACACTGCAGCTTCAGCAACTTCATGGTTGACTCCTCTGTAGAGAGTAACCTCAGAAAGTTATGCTCCTTCCATGTCAGGGGCATAAGAGTCTCATCATCCCAGCCCCCCTCCCCAAGTCCTCTCCACAAGATCTCAGAGACCCCAGAGCTCACCTGGATTGGCTGGCACCTTGTTAAACCATTTCCCAAGCTCCCTTGGGAGGACTCTTTCTGAGTCCTGCTTCCTCTGCCTTGACCCCCAAATACCTTACTCAACCTCCATCTCAGCATCTCCTTGGTAACAGCTCAGCATGTGACAATGGCCGTGTCATGACACTGTCACAAAGGCACCCATCACCTCACAGGTTGATGAATTTGGGGGCAAAGAGCAAACATTAAATGAGGTGATTCTTATGATTTGCAGACACTGCATATGGTAGGCTTCTAGTAGTGGAAAAAATAAATTCCTGTCTTTCCATGTTGTCTGGTTTTATCAATGAATTACTAGTCAGTTCAGGGTCCCGATTCAGAACAGATGACACTCAAATTAGGATAATTTAAAAGAGATATTTACAGGGACTTCCCTGGTGGCACAATAGTTAAGAATCTGCCTGACAATGTAGGGACACGAGTTTGATCCCTGGTCTGGGAAGATCCCACGTGACGTGGAGCAACTAAGCCCATGTGCCACAACTACTGAGACTGCACTCTAGAGCTTGCGAGCCACAACTACTGAGCCGACATGCCACACCTGCTGAAGCCTGCGTGCCTAGAGCCCCTGCGCCGCACCAAGAGAAGTCACCACAATGAGAAGCCCGCGCACCGCAACAAAGAGTAGCCCCCACTCGCCACAACTAGAGAAAGCCCATGCACAGTAACAAAGACCCAACACAGCCAAAAATAAATAGATAAATGAATTAATTAAAAAAAAGATATATTTACACAGTGTATTCATTCCCTATAACAAATGACCACAATCTTGATGGCTTGAAATAACACAAATTTATTATCTTACAGTCAGAAGTGGTCCTTCTGGAGGTCAGAAATCAGAAATGGAATTTTCTGAGCTAAAATCAAGTTTTAGGCAGGGCTGCGTTCCATGTGGAGGCTCTGGCAGAGAATCCATTTCCTTTCCTCTTCCAGCTTCTGGAGGGGCCTGCATACCTGGTATGTGGCCGTTCATCCATCTTCAAAGCCGGGAATTCCGTCACCTCTTTTTCCATCTTTACATCTTCTCTTTGACTCTTATCTTCCTGCCTCTCTCTTATAAGGGCCTTTGTGATTAAAATCCTCCTACTTTAAGATCCAGAATTTTAGTCACATCATCAAAGTTTATATTTGCAATGGAACATAACATATTCACAGGTTCTGGGGTTAGAAAGTGACATCTTTGGGGGTCCATTATGCCAGTTACAGTGCACCAGGACTCCGTACAAAAGAGCGGCTGTGTTACAGGGGAACTGCAAAGAAGCAGCAAGTAATCATAATACTGGAGATCTTTACTGCTCAGAAGCCCACTGGGAGAAGGGGAAGGAGGTTACCAGAACCTAAAGGAGATGGTCCCATGGAGAAAGGATCATGATAAGAATTGCC